GAATTACAGAAAGTTCAATCCCCACAAGAAGCTCTCTTTCTCCAAACATTTGGACATCATCTCTGTCTGCTGTGTCTTTTTGAGTTTCCCCTTTCTAATTCTGAGGAAATTACTGCATGGAGCTCCTTCCATGTGTCAGAGGCAGTGCTGAGCAGCAGCTGCAGCCAGGACACACCAGGACTGCCCCAGCCTGATGCAGCCAGGCAAGCAGCAAGCTGCTGTCAAGAGGATCCTCTTCTCTGGCTGTTTGCACAGAAAAGCTTGAATTTCTGAAAAGTGCAATACTTCTCCGCCTCTTACTCACCCCCCAAACGGCATAATTTAACCAAATAAATGGCTTTTCCTGTAGGAGTTATCTTCTTTCTTTGCAGGAATTGTCTGCAAGTCAGACAAGGGTTCAGGCAGTGACCATTGGCAGCGTTAGCAAGGAGCAGCCCTGGGTACCTCAGTGTTCTCTTGAGCACTGCCTAAAAGTACCTTCAAACTGATGGTTATCTATTCTTCTAAGTAACATTTGCCCAGGAAAAAAAAATATATAAAAAGTCTCCAATGCTTTTTAATGCTTGATAATAGATGTCTAGGTCTTGGGAGAAAAAGTTCTTATTTACAATTTGGAAGCAACAGAAATTTACTACAGATGTATTGGGAAAGGAAAGAGCTATGCCCATAATCAGAATTCTTCCACTATTTCCACCTTTTTTTGGCTTATACATAATGGTTGGGTTCTGCTTTTGAAATGGAAGTAAAGAGTTGTGAGTGAAATCACACACACGACACATAAGTGGAAATAAAAAAAAAAAGGCAGCTAATTTTAGAATAAAAACCATTGGTGTCCCCTTTCACTCTGTTTTCAGCAGCTAATCATTTTTAATGAAAACATCTTTGATGGATAGGAGAAACTAGCTGGCAACTGAACTGGAGGAAGCTGACAGGGAATACATTAGTTGGGGAGAGTCATCTGTTCTGTAGCTCTTTAGCGAGTGGCCATATATTTTTAATTTGTGTTACATCAGAGCTGGTAAAATTGCTGAGCTGCTCTGCTGAGCGCATTGGAGTCAACTCATGAATGTTGCATGCAGAGATATTTGTTCATGTTAACCAGACAGAAACATTATATTTAATGTTGCTGTGATTTAAATCCATCTGTCTTGAAACAGAGAAAGGAAGCTTAAATATGGCCTGTGTTTATAACAGCCAAATTATATACGTGTATTTATTTATATGCATATATTACATAGAAAAATGTGTAGGGATTATGATTATTATCTTATTGGTTTATGGACCTGCATAATACATACATTTAAGAGAACCTGTGTGGGATTTTTTTTATACATGGTTCTGAAGTCAACTAAAATAATAGTCATGACATTGGGTTTTCCCACAAAAACTAACTTGTCATGCTCCTGACATATTTCTGTTACCAAATGATGCACAAACCTTATCTACATCATCTCCTGCTCACACATTTTTTCCCCAAAAAAGAATTTATTCTGAATGAATGTGAGCCATGAGTCTTAGGTATGTCTAATGAATGAAGAGGAGGGGGAAGAAACCAAGCCTTGCTTTTTCATAATTTCTTCACATATTTAAAATTTTATAGAAAATCAAAACTTTGTCTTGTTAGATGTAAGTGAGGAAACGACAGTATTGGGTTCTCCTGAAAACAGAGAGATTGGTTGCAGATTTCCTCGCAGTTTGCTGCTTTGCAGAGGTTTTTGTATGTGATAAGAGAACAGATGATGCTCAGGCTTAACTGTGGCACATGGAACAAAGAAATCTCTATTTTGGTTAAATAAAACTGTTTGCATATCATGGTGAGCCAGGTGTCTGAGTTCTCATGATGTAATTTAATTTAAAGTATTATAGATGGAGGAATACCACAGAAAAAGCTGTCCAGAAGAAGCTACGTGGTGCAATGATATATATTAGTCTTCAACTAATAAAAAGCTATTAAAAGATGAAGATCACTCTTTTTCCAACCCAGCCCTAAACCTTGCACCAGCAGCAACAGAGAGGCCAGTGATCCCCACAGAATCCCTTGGCCCACATTATTAATCAAGGCTGTAATATTTAAATACACCTGCATTTGAAGACCTGCCAGTCACACCAGAGCCCAACTCCATGGTTTTGTCAGTGATGCCTCAGGTTTTAGGGTTTATATTTTTCAGATTCTGCGCTGCTTTAGTGTGTGGGTCTGGGTTTCATATGAGGGGATGGTGAGCTCTCTTCACAGAGCAGAGAGACAAAACAATTCCTTCCCTAGATGGAGACCAAGGACAAATGACACAAATCTCAGGCCCAAGAGCACAAACAATGTGGGCTGAAGAGAGAAAAACAAGAAGGATGGGACTGCATGGGCTACAGCTATAACTGGACAATTAACTCCAATATGCAAATAGACCAGAACTTCTAAAAATGTGAGACCCCACGACTGATCATCCATTTTGTGTGACCATTTTGGTTCATCTTGGGTGTAGCCCTGGCTGGGCTCTTGTGCTGCCCAAGGTGGATCCATTGAGGCCTCCAAATAAATCCCTACTGTATTCTTTAGCTCTGCCTAGTCTCTGTTCTAGGTCAGAATTCACAAGGCACCATCAGTGCAGCACTAGGGCTGCAAATGCCAGATGGGAATGAAGCAGAGCAAGCAGTCAGGGAGGTGTGATGGCTGGCCAGTCCTCTCCTGGAGGACTCTGAGTGCATTCAATGTGCTACAGAGCCAAGGGAATACTTTTAGGATTTATTGGCTTTGCAGTGATGAGTGGATGCCATAGGAAATGATGAGTGGAAAAAAACCAGAGCAATTAAAGCCATGAAATATGACTGCAACTGTCCAGCCTACACCTTCCCTCAAATAAATAAAACTGGCTTCCAAGTTGGAGATGGGAGCCAAGAAGTTGTGGAGAGGGTAAAAAGAGAAAAAGGAAAGGCATCCCTTCCATCTGGGCATGGGATTTATATCCATAATCTCTGAGGAAACCAAAGAAGACAAGGATGCATTTTTCATCCCTCTCCCACCCTGAGAACTGCAATTGTGGTGGAGGTTCCTCCCCACTTTCACGTGGGAACGGAGAGCGAGTTCCACCAACCAGCGAGGAGCCTTGTCCTCAGCATTCTCTGGAGAACAGAAAAGATGGAACCAGCAAAGCCCCATCAGGTTTCTTTATTTCTGCTGGAATGTGGGAAACTGAGCTTTTTAGGTATTGTGAAATCTCAGCTCCCTCTACCCAATGAACTTAGAAGAATTTATTGCAAGAAGAGATGATATTGAGGTTCAGTTTTATTTGTATTCAAAGATCTGGTTTTGAACTTGGCAGGACAAATTTTTTGCAGGGTTTGGCTGTTCTTGCAGAACCTAATCCAAAGCCCATTGAAGTCAGGACAAATCTCTCCCTAGACTCCAGTGAATTCTGGGTCAGACCCCTACAGTAACATTGATTCTGATGGTTGCAGAGGTTGAGATTTTATTACTGCAATCAACATAAAATATGTCTGGCTTTCATTTTGGATATTTCCCTCTTTCTTTTTCATAGAGTTCAAGAAATGATAATATTTGCTTTTTCTGGGGAAAATATTTATTTATCACTTTACAAAATTATGAAGTATAATTATTGTTACGTGAAGTTACAGGGAATTTTATGAAAAACTGTACTCAAAGTTCTGTGCATTTCTCTTGCTTAATTTCCTCTTATGTTCTGATGTTTATTCCATTTTTACATTACAAGACATGCAGTTTTTAATTCCTTTTCCAGACGAAGATTTTGCCCCAGAAAAGAAAATAACATAAGCAGAGACTACATCAGACTTCATCCAGGCTGGAGCCCTAATTCTGCATATAATTCTGGCTATAGTTTTACTGACAACAATATTGGTGAATTTTGCACTCAATACATGGCTGTTATTAAATATAAATTAGGGTCTGCTGAGCCATTTTGAGGCCATTTTAGAGTTTACACCATGGCAAAGAGCACAAGCAGGTGGCCCTTCCCTCACAGGGATTCTGGGACAATAAACTGGTTTTTGTGTTGTTTATGGCCACATTTATGTTTAAGCAGCTTGGTTAAGCTCTAGTAATTTAGGGTTTAACTTTGAAAAATTTTTATTTTACTTAATCTCAAAAAAAAAAGCTGTTAGCCTTTTCCCCTTTTTTTGCATCTTTTTTAATTCCTGTGTTTGACAGCTAATTTTCAAGCTAGAATTCTACTACAAAATTATTATTTTCTTTTTTAAATTAAATTTTTTTCCTGTTTTGAATTGGGATACAAAAGCAAATGCTTTCTGCATTTGGGGTTTAAATCTTCTCAGGATCACATTCCAATCCCCAGGCCTTCTCTTCAGGTGACTCCAGTAATCTGTGCCTTAACATTTTGAGGTTTGCAATTTCAAAACCAAAATCATTAAGGCAGGGAATTCTGGGAGGGGTGAGAGGTTGTGGAAATGGCATATTTTCTTTTGTGTTACGGTCTCAAAATCTGTACAATTCAAATAATGGGTAGAAATATTCTGCGTCCGGAATGAAAAATTTATGCAGGTGAAATTGTCATGTTGTGAATACTTTTGGTAGGAAAAGTGAGGTGATTTTATACCCAGTAGTACTTAATCCCCAAGGTTACTTTCATATGGAAGAAAGAGCATTTACATATAAGTATTGTGCAGCTCAGGGAGTGATGGATAGTGCTGTTATAAATTCAAATCACCCAGCCCTTGATTTATTCAGGAATTTCCAACAGCACGGCAATATATACTTCTAATTTCCACTGAGGATGAATTTGGTGAAAGGAAAGAGAAATTATTTGCTGAAGCCTGAGCTGGAAGGAGGCAGTGGATGCCAATGTTAACACTCCCAAAGAAGAGCTGTTTCCTGAATTAGGCTGCAGAGCAAGGAGCACTTTCGGCGCTGGATGGCCAGAGCTGCTGACAGACAGTCCCCAACAGGAGGGCTTGATTAAAAGCTGGTGATGAGAGCTTTCACTGCCAGTCCTAGCAGAGCTCCTGCCCTCCACAGCAGCAGGCAGGGAAAGAGGCTGTGGGCATTCCTCTGCTCCCTCTGGCTCCTTGCAGGATCACGGAAAAGAAATTGCGAATTACAGCTGCGTCAATATGAGAGTGACAGTCACTTTGATGGAAGGTGTTCCGTCAGCTCAGAGCTCTACGTTTCAAGCAAGGAATAAAAAAGCACCTGAGTTATAGACAGCTGAATATCCCCATTATCCCCAGCTCCAAATATAATAATCTGAGCATGAATAGCACTTTTCAGCTGGGAGGCTGAAGTGGCTTGAAGATATTAACAAATTCCCTCTGTCACTTATGGAGACAGGAAGCACTATTATTGCATTTGGGATTTGGGGGAGATTGAGATACCTAGCAGTTAGTTTGTTCAAGATGGCAGGGGGAATCATGGCAGAGCTGTGAGGACTGTGTCCGTGTTGCTGAACCCTTGCTGCTTATCCTTTCTTATTCCTTCACAGCATGTCTCTGATGAAAAAAAAATGCTTTCTCACAAGTCAGACTGCAGTAAGGGTCATGTGAGGCATGGGGTGACCCTCCTGACCAGCAGACAAGGGCTATGAATGACCATGACTGTGCAATATATTCAATTTACAACTTTGTACAGTGAGTACAAAGTGAGCATAAAGGCACTGTGACCACAATATGTTCTCATGTTACTCAAAGGGGTGGAAGACAAGGTCAGGCTTTGGAATTGCAGTCATTTTTTTTAGAAATTGTTTTATTTTTTATTGCTGCTGTGAGAGATACCAATAGAGCCAGTGTAAGCACATAGGAATTTCAGCTCTGCCTCTACCCTAAAATATTTAAATTTCCTTGAAACTCTCACTCATAAGGAACAGAAAGCCACATCAAAGTGAACTTTCTGGACTGTTGTAGGCTTCTCTCAAGCTTGATCAACAAAGGGTTCTGCAGCTAATCTCTGCATTTAAAGAAAAGAAAATAGCTGGTGCCTTAACCTTAGGAGGAAGACTAGGAAAACACCTTAGGAGGAAAACTAGGAAAACTAGAAATGCAGTGAGGGAAAAGCCCGTTGCTGTCAGTATTTAAAGTGCAGAGGTTACAGCCAGCCTCTCTGCCCAAACCTCACATCCACAGATTGCTGTTTCTTTTTAAAATTTTCTAAACAGACATCATCCAGACAGTTGCATCCACCTGCAAGGAGGGGGCAGCCTCCCAGGTAACAAGGGACAGGAGGAGAGGAAACAACTACAAGAGGTTTAGATTGGATATCAGGAAAAAAACCTCTCAATTGGAACAGAGAAATGGTGCAGTGACCATCCCTGGAACTGTTCATCATGCTTTAGTGGTGGGTTTGGCCATGCTGGGTTAGTTTGACTCAATGTTCTTCAGGGTTGTTTCAAACCTCTCCAATTCTATTCTGAATCTGTGGGCCATTTACAATGCAGAGAAAGTTGGTGGCAAGCAGTGTTTTCTTGATGGAGAAATCCAAATAGTTTGGGAAAATATGAATCTCCAAACGCTGAGAATCTGTGGGGAATATAAAATAACATGTATTTATTGAAAAGGCCTTGATGAAGACTTTTTGAAAGCCTCTGCATTTAAGAACCAGAGTCTTTTGTGATTTGACCTCCCAACAGCAACTTTTTGTTTTTTTTTATTTTGCAGAGGGAAAGAAATGTTAAATGCTATGACTGCTGGACTGGGATCTTAGTTGAGCTAACATCAGGTTTATGACCCAGGGTGGAGGTAAATGGCCAAACCCGATCAACACCCCATTAATCCAAGGATGATCAAGTAACATTGCATTTGGCAAAGCCACAAATAACCATGTAATAACACTGTAATTCTATGGTAATTTCTTACACATGATTATTGATGCCCTGTAAAATAATGTGTTACCAATAATCCCATATTACCTCTCTGCTCTTAAATATAAGGTCACTGACAGACCATGACTGTTTAATGTACTTTCAGTCTCAAACAGAAATCTTATACAATGGTTATAAAATGAGCCTTAGTGGGTGACCCTCTTTGCTCTCCTTTAATTGTTTTTTTTTCCTCAGAGCATGTCACATGTACATCAGTGCTACTCTAGATAGTTTGCAGGGTATTGGATTTCATTGACATTTAGCATTTCCTTCCCACTTTTCACCTACTTAAAATTAGGATCCTTCTCAGAAATTTGTACCCACTTTCAAGGGTGGAGACTGAGAGCCTGGTTGAGAGGCAAGTGCCTCCTGCACTGAGGATTCAAACCATCCCAAAACCAACCAAATACCACAACGCTGTGCCATGCCCCTACAGCTTATTTTGAGCATCAATTATTGCTGAATGGGTAAGAAAAATTGGGTGCTCCCATTCCAACCTCCTGCAGTGAAGACACATAGAAACCAGCTGGGAGTCAAATATTTGTCAGTACAGGGTGAGCAGTCAGGGAGATTTGCCTAAGAGATAAACCAGTGTCATGCTGGGTTTGTGTCTCTCAAGCCTGCACACTATTTGACTAAAAGTAACTGTAATGTTTAATATAATCTTTTCAACCCGCATGAAGAGAAATCCTTATCCATCCATATGCTGCTGTTTTTACATGGAAGAAGTTTTGGGTCTTTATTTATTGTAGGTCTCATCATAGTTTAAACTTTTTAATCATAGAATCATGGTTTAAATTGGAGGGAACCCTAAAGATTATGTCTTTCCATCTCTCCTGTCATGTGCAAGCACACCTTCCACTTGACCAAGCTGCTCAAAGCCCAGTTTTTTCCATTTTATTCTTGTCAGAAAAATATTGAAAAAAGATATTAATTCTAACCCTAAACTTTGGTCTTGAATACTCTTAAAATTACAAAAAATTTTGAACTGAATTTTCCCTTGCATTTTAGGCCTAACCCTCTTGTCTTGGTAAAAAAAACATTGGAAAACACTTACTTGAATCAAGTTGTGTTTTGCCAATTTATATGTAGCTTTAATTAGGAATATCTAATGGATTAGCAGTGTGAGGGTTAGTTTTATGTCTGCAGTTCATCGGGGCTGGTGTGTTTTGTGCAGCGGGGTAGCAAAATTTAACAGCAGTTATTATCATTTCTGCACAGAGGAGATGTGGAACTGGGGGTTTGTAACATTCTCCAAGAAGCTGTCGAGGACAAGAGCAGGTCAGGCTTTTCAGAAAAAAACAAACAACAACAACAAAAAATGTGCTACAAGACAGAAGAGGAATCCTAAGAATGGTAACTGCCCTCTGTGCAGAACAGAGTGGAGAAGCCAACAATCCAGCAATCCCACCAGCTTCATATTCCCTAGGGCCTGACTGGAATTAGCATCTGACTGGGCTTCCTTTCACCAGCTGTGACTGCCAGGTGAACAGACCAAGGGAAAACAGAGACATCTGTGCCTGGACATGGCAGAGCTCCCCACTGGAGTCACGTTCACAGGCCTGTGCTGGGCGCTAATGAATGAGAGCAGTGTCTCTGGCCCAACACCATGTTCCTCAAACTGCACTTCTGAATTTAATTAGTTTTTAGGAGCCTGCTTATGTGTTCCCTATGCAGCTGTGGAGCACAAGGAATCGTGTGGTTTCTGTGACCTTTTGTTGCTCCTTGCAGTGTTTTCTCTGATGCTGCCTCTCAGCCATTCCTTCCACCCCATCGTTTTATCACGAGCACTGTTCACATCCTTTAAAGGCACAGCTGGGGATGCAAACATGATTTATGTGTTTCACAAGGTCTTCTGTACCAGTAAGGAAACCACAAGGCTCCTTTCCAGTGTTGCTGACTGGGGCTTAGCTGGTGCTGTCTGCTGCAGCACACGTTGCCGTGTAGATGGCCATGATACACTGAGCACCACCATACAATTTACAATTTCAGAAGGTTCCAACCCACACAGAGCAACACCACTCCAGAAGGCTGTAAACATCCACCCTTCTTGTCCCTCAGCCCAGCCTTTTATCCCCTCCTGCTGATGCCCTGCACCTGTGTGCCCTCTGCTCCCTTTGCTGGTTGGGCAGTGCCCCTGGGCTCTCCTTACCTTCAATAGCATTCACCTGTCCTGCACAGCTGTGCCCATTGGGGATGAGGCTTGGCCACAGCCCCACCCCAATCACCTACAGCTGTCCATGGCCTGGAAACCTCTGCTGATCTTCAGAGATGTGAGCAGCACTCACTCCTCGCTCAGACCCTCATAAGACAGGTTTTGACCCAGGCATTGGCCGATCAGAGGATGTCACCCATCCTGGAAGTTCTGCTCTGAAATGCCCTACTGCAATCACTGGTGAGCCAATTCTGGTCATCAGAGCTAGGATGGAAATTAGGAGTGAGCCTCAAGGCTGCACTAATCTGTATTTGCTCTCCAATGTGCAGCAGAAAAGGGCACAGCAAAGCAGGTGCCAATTCTGGTCCCTTGCAAGCATATCCTGCCCAGTTTGTATAAAACTGTCATGTAAAAACACATGTTCATGTGAAGTTAAATCATGCAAATACAATTCCTCTAACTTTTAAAACAAAATTTCCTTATTTACTGAGTCAAGAAGAGTCTTTTAAACTCTAAGTTTTAATTAATTATTGTTTCTACTAAGACATTGGATAAAGAGAGATTCTGTATGACTTAACATTACATGCCAAGCTTTTGAACCTGCAATGAAGATACAAAGTTAAAAACCTATTTTTTATGCTAATTGTCAGGCTTATAGAATTTTTTGGGTTTGCTAAATCTATCTACTGATAGTCAGTAGGATCATTTACTGGCAAGATTACTAGGGGCAGCAGCACTTCCCTTTTTTTTCTGCATCTTCCATCCCTCTTCCATAATAACCCTTGGTCCTGTCATTAGAAATTAGCCTTTTCCCACATAGAAATATAGCTGCTCTTCTCTCACAAAGTGCAACAATACATAATTTTTTTGGTGATTAGCTGAAAGTTGCAAACTATTCTTTTTAAAAAATTTGTTTAATGAGGAGAGAAAATAACCATAAGTGCGTTGTCCAGGTTCCTAAGCCACCTTACACTCTGAAGGGTATACCTGGGCATAGAAAAGGTTCTTAGCCCCCTAGGATTCAGCATTAACTCCCAGGCACTTGCCAGCAGTGAAGTGCTAATTTAAAGCCTTTTGATTTGGCACAGCTCATTTCGACACGCGGAGAGAAAGAGCGCCAGCCCCCTTGGAAGGGACAGCGTTCCAGCACCAACAAAGCCTCATTGTTCTCCTGCCCAGAGAGCCTGGAAGCAGTGGTGACCCCAAAGCAGTCCCTTTGGAAAGGGAAAACTGCTTTGCAATAATAATTATTCCTAGAGTTCAAAAGACTAAGCCTTTCCCCGAAAGAAATCAAATGATTAAAAATTCGCACAACAGCTGGCTGGGCTTGAATGAAGATGTCAATTACACTGATAAGGAAGAAAGGAATGGTGCCTTCCAATGCTTCAAAGGAACAGCCATGTATAAATGTGTTTGGGCTTTGTAAAAATAGATCTGCAGTGCTATGATCGGCCTAATTAATGTTCCTCTTTTGTGTGGCATTCCTGCCTTAGATGCTTTCGGTTACTTGAATAACCACAGATTTCTCTGAGTGAATAAACCCTCCTGCTACCTTCTCAAAGTGCCTGGAAGCGTGATCTAAAACATTGTTTGATCCTCTCTGTCCTTCCCAGCCAGATCAGCTATTCACAGACAGATCAGTGTCTTGTGCTCACTTTATGAGCAGCACGAACAGGCTCATCCACTGTTTTCCCTGAGGAGAAGACACAACTTATTTATTCAGTTACACAACAGACTTTCCCTCCTACAGTTAAAGGTATGGTTAAGTGGCACAAAACTTGGCCAAAATACACAAGATACAACCGAAATTTGAAAAAAAAGGATGGCTTTCTGAGCTGGGTTTTTTAAAAAAACAGCAAAAACCAGCAGAAGCCTGGTTTGGGTATTTTTTTTTTTCTTGTAAGACTTTATGATCCTTCAATCAATGAATGTGGGAAGTGTGCATTTCCAGCAAGAATTAAAATTGATCCTGTGTTTCTTGCCACTGCTTACAAGTCTGAGTGTGGCAAAGTTAGCATGCAGAATCCATTGATCATGCACTGGGGACAAAGCTGTGCATGAGAAAGGGGGAAAGGAACCTCTCAGGCTCTTTAGACAAAGTGTTCCACATATTAACACCCTTCCCCTTATCTGTGTGGGCTTTGTCTGACACAGAGCAGGGTTTACAGCAGCCCCCTCCATGCAGGACCATGCAGTCACTCAAGGGTGAGTGATTTTTGTATGAGGGCATCTCCAAGTGTAAAGCTCAGGAAACATGAATGGTATGGGATATCCAAAAAAGGCTGGGTTCTCTGAGTCACTTCACAGAATAATTATTGGGGTTTCTTTGGTGGAAGGGCTTTGAGCAGTCCCATGTCTTGTAGCTCAGGTAAAGGGAAGGGCTCTGCATTAAATAAATACATGGATTCTCTGCAGCCCTGACTTCCCAAATAAGAAACCAACCTTCAAATCATACATGCAAATTGTAAATTATGCTCCCTTCTAATGTAATCCAGTTGAGATTT